GCTAGGTGCTACATCCATGACCTCTCTACTAAATGATTATTATGATAGATATTACTAATCCTATATCACGACGACTAAGTATGATAGAAACTACAACTGTATGCGAATAACAACACAGTGATAGTTTTTGGGGTAGGGAGAACCCAAAGACGATTATGATCAGTAGTATGAACAATATAAGCAACAACAATTATAACAATAGGGGCATGAACACTGTTGTTATTGTTATGATGTTACTATATTATCGCTGTAATGATTATTAAATAGTATATATTATGAATGGTAGTAGTTGGAAATACGGCGTTGTGACCCTCTTAAGAGCGCTCGAAAGTTAGAAAGAAAAAGAATCGAGGCGCCCTTTTCCAACCACACCGATGATGAATATGATGATGAAGATAATGAGGAAGAGAAAGAGAAGGAAATACAACAGATACTTCGTCACTGTATACCGTCATTGGCTGCTTAATACACGCCAGCATGCTACTATAATGATGAGGAGAGAAATGCATCACAAACAACAACAACGGCGGGAGCGGCGAATTCACTTGTTATTATAGCAACAACAGCAATTAATGCTTAAAGCCTTCTTCTACTATTGCTGATGACGATGGGGAGGGGACATCTGCTACTACGCACCTTGGCGTGTCTACCGATGATGATGTTGTATCTTCACAGTCTTCCACCTCATCATCATCCTTCCTTCCAATACACTTATCAAATGCTCTCTTGCATTGACCATAGAGCATCTTAAAGCCTCGAATAACCGGCTTGAGGAAGAATGTAATATCATGCTTCACATTGGAGCACCCACGGGACAAGTCGTCTTCTACACAATAGAAACATAGACTAACATACAGGTAGAATACAACACCAATAATTGCCCATGCATACCTAAATGATGATGATAATTTAATAATAATAAAATGATGATGATGATGATATTCAAACTTACCAAGGCCAATCTAAGGGGACCAGTGTAGTGATGATAAGGTAAACGTTAATAGCGAGGATAATGAGTGCCAGCAACCACAGTCCAGCACTCCACCATCTATTCAATGCAAACCTGCATACCACACCACAGTGAACATACAAATAACACGAGTAAGACACACTGTTATAACGACATCACTTACGTGCCCATAACCTTCTTGCTCATCGCATAGTGCAGTAACGGTAACAACGCAAAGGGTAGCTGTATAGACTGCAGAATATTCAACCATGCATTGATGCCGTTCATACCCGATACTTCACTCTAACAAAAATAACAACAATAACAACACCACTACTATTACTAATGCCATTATTATTACCTCAACTAGAGCAATTGCCAAGGCCGGCCCTAGAGCTATAGTACGTGTTAATAGTACTCTTACCCACATTGATATACGGATATGCATAAAACCCTCCATAACGTATTGACCAGCCATGGTGCCAGTAAGGGTACTCGCTTGCCCTGCTGCCAATACACCAACAGCGAAGATATACTTCATAGCATCCGATGAACTAAAACAACAAACAGCAGGAGAGATGTGTGAGTAGTAATGAACTCAGTTGCTCACATCACTGCGCCTAAGGCCTCTGCTGCATTTTCAAGTCCAACCATAGCACACACCCCTGTCTCACCATACGAAGTTGTACAGTGACAATCAGGGTTTAGCGGATCACACGTACTCGTACTCCAATCTAAACACACAACTTAATGACATTGCGTAGTAATAATACTACTACTACCATCTGGACTGCTAAGGCATGCAAATGGTCCCTTGGGCATTCTCGCACAGTGTAGTGAGAACATGCCATATGCAAAGGAGCATACCACTGCCATGTTGATGATGAACGATATGAGGATAGAACAACATGCATCTACGGTCAAATACCTAACATCACATACGAGTTACTATATTCATAATCATCATCATGCCTACTTATTAGCCTGCTTCACAAACTCGTGATTATTCTTATCGATTTTCCTAGACTGTACCAACGCTGAGTGTAGATAGAGATTATGCGGCATAATAACAGCACCAACAATACCAACCAACTCCATAACAGCATAGCTCGATACGTTTGGTATAAAGCCTTTAGCAACCTCTACTGCTGGTGGCGCTGTTATTGCCATATTAGCAAAAAAGCACCCCATCATCGTCATGATAAGGATGAATATAAACGCCTCCATAACACGCATTCCATGGAATATTTGTATGAACAAAAACGTGAGAGTATCAGCTGCTGTGATAAGAACACCAACCCACATATCAATACCGAACAACACGTGAAAGGCAGTAGCAGTTCCAATGACCTCCTGAATGTCTGATCCGATGATGGCGATTTCACTCATTATCCATAGTATATTGGACACTCTCCTCGAGTAACCTCTACGGCAATTCTCTGCCAGACTTTCACCAGTAGCAGCACCAATACGACAGGCACATATTTGTAGTAGTAGACCCGCTATATGAGCCAGTAACAACACCCATAGTAACTGGAAACCTGTGAATGCCCCAGCTTGAAGGTCTGCCTCGAGATTGCCAGGATCAAGGTACGCCAATGACATAAGCCAACCAGGACCAGCATACTTGAAAAATGTCCGTATAGAGAACTTAACACCCGGAGGGTCAATTGGTATATCAATTTGATGACCGTCTCTAATAAGAGGACCAGGTTCATCGTCCTTCTGAGACTCCCTGGGGGACTGTGAAGCCTCTGTATTGTCCTCAGCTCCAGCGACATTCACTGCTGAACCCGTTGAGAAACTACAACTACTGCTATCTGATGATGATGATGTAGTTACATCTTCTGGTGGTGGGGGTAACCGTGCTGGAGCAGGGACATCATCACCATCGGTCGCGACAATAGACATAATAATAATACTTCCTAAAAGCAAACGTAACTAAGCAGCATCATATCAAGAGAAGAAGACTAGCTGCAATATATGCTCACAACAAAGGAGACAACAACAAGTCCTACGACCACCGTCACGCGCCACAAAATTATATATACTCCTCAGCGGCCAACTTCCCATCAGCTCAGCTATTCTCGCAACAACTGGCTAGATGTTCAAGAATCGCATAGATACATACTTAAATTACTATAGCGCGCGCCCTCGTAATCGATTATCAACCAGTTCTACCCAAAATCAAGTCCCCAAGAATTCCCATTATTGAACTCAACAAAGCTATCTATCATTAGCAACACTGACAATAAATGGTTAACTCAGTTCTTAACAGAAAGGGTGATGGAATCTTAGGCAATCCATACTAGTAGTTGTAAATCAAATCTGATGCTTTCACTAAGGCTCCTCTGAGCTCGACCCGGCCTCAGATATTTCACTTTCATCTGTTCCTATTGTCCGCACTACTCCTTGTTCATCCCTATCATACATAAACTTCTTTACTTGTGATCTATTACTGGTATCATAGACATAAAACTTAGCATGCTTGTGCCTACACATACGAACATCACCAAGAAGGCTACCCGACAACAACACTATTACTCTTTCGTCATATCATTCGCAAGGAAATCCGAAATCGCCTTAACATTATGACGATCATCGTCAGACATACCAAAGGTGAGATCGGTATAAGACATATTACACATAATCTTACTGCCCTTCCGACGAAGCATACGCAACTTACGAACCTCTGATGCCACCGAATCTGAACAACAACAACAAAATCACATTCGAAAAATACATTTTTTTCGCGATTATAGTCCTAATAGAGCAAACTACCAATCCATAGAAAATAGAATATTAGCCACCACTATAATGTAAGGAGATATACGTGGTATAATCAGCCACGCGCGTTGACGGCAGCAAGGAAACTCTGAAAAATTCTTGTTGGTCTTTGCACACTCCTACACTCAACCGTCCATAATTAAATTTTCCTAATAATTTTGTGAAAAAAAACCGAGCCAAGTCCCCCCCCCGTTTTTACCCGCTCTTTGAGTTCTCACTGGCGTCGGCGGCGTCGCCTCCTCACTACTACTGCTACCAGTTGCTGCTGCTGGTGGTGGTGGTCCCTCTTCCTCACTACTATCCAACGCCTCATTACGCGTTATAATGCGCTGAATCCTCTCAACAGAACTGTCTATGAATTGTCGCATCGCAATCTGTTTCGCTTCCTCACTCGGAAGATTACCATACTTCGCACGAAATTCATTCGATGATACCGTGGCAAACTCGCATAGAGATATATACCTAAAACTACAAATTTCAACTGCCAAGCCAGAGAAATGCTTTTCATACTTCTCAACCGACATAGGCTTCGAATCGTGTAATTTTCCATACCACTCCAAATGCCGATACCTGTTCCACCAATACTATACATAACTTCATAAACTGCACTTACATCCTCGCCATCTCCTCCTCATTTAAGATCTTAGGTATGAGTCGTAATACCCCACTCTTTACAACCTCCGAGGGATGCCCACGTGCCGTAATAATAGCAAACAAACGGGCATGTGCTAAGCAATTCTTGAAGGAGTGGAACGAAGGGCCGAATTGCTCTGCAGGTCAACAAGAATAAGAAGACCCCGGTTCAATCCCTGCACCCTACCCTTTTCAATAGCTTCTAGAGCGTCTCTATAAAAGAGGTCATCCTCATCGTGCATATCTGCGAATGTCTCTTTCCAACTACCATTTCGAGGCTTCAAACCAGGACTGCCTCTGAGCTTGGCAAACTCTGAAGATGAACAAGTGCGAGACTGAACTCAGCAGTGTGGGGGGGGATATGCACATGGTCATCAACTACATGTGTTGATGATAACAATATGACAATTCTGGGAGGAAATTGTCACTCGTTTCTATACACCTCTACCCAAATTCGTGAATAAAACCCTGAGCTCAGGTGAGCCAACATATATTCCTCCTCCTCCTCCAACACTGTTGTTGTGCCTCCTACCTTGTGTAGTAATGTCCCTTGGTTCACCATCAATATCAACATGCACTTTAGTTGGCATATATAAGATATTATCATCCCAGTCGAACATGTAGAACCTCAGCTTCATTATTATTATATTTCAAAACAACAACAACAACAAAAACGCTGATGAATGAACCGTCTCCTCTCGCTGCGTAGCGGTAATTTCGTGGCGCGTGACGAAAAAGAGCCCGCAGGTTCAATCCCACCACCTGTCGTTTTTACCTACATTCGTTCAACAAAGACTACAACCACAGGCTCATCACCATTTTATATACTGCACAGATCTTCATAACAGGAACACACCTCGTCATCATCATTATCATCACAACTCTTAGGCCACATAAATGCTCCTGTTAAGCCGTTATGAAGTAGTAAAGGAGCAATCTCCCCTTCTTCTCCTGAGCGTGTACCCAGCACTCTACTCCATGATGATATTGTTATACTCATATCTACTACTACTACTACTACTACTTCTACTACTACTACTACTACTCAAGTAAGGCTTCATTCAATGATGATACTCCATGATGATACTGTTATACTCATATCTACTACTACTACTACTACTACTACTACTACTACTACTACTACTACTACTACTACTACTACTACTACTACTACTACTACTCAAGTAAGGCTTCATTCAATGATGATACTCCATGATGATACTGTTATACTCATATCTACTACTACAACACAACACAGCATAACGAGGCATCACAACGATGAAAACCGTCATAGAAGATACCACAGTATTCACTACATATCACTTGCTCAGTTGTATACCATATATCTGAATAATAATGGTATATATTCGGACCTCATCCGTATCATACCATCATCCATGCTAAGATTCTCCCACATATTACTTTGGTGTCGCCGAGAACTTGGCGTATCCCTTCACAACCTTATTAATCGCCTCAATCAGATCCTTCTCAGAAATAGATTTCCGCCTCGCTCGAATGGCAAACATCCCCGCCTCCGTACCTACCAACCATATTCCATACCACACTTCTTACACATCTCATCCCAATATAGACTTACACACACTCCTTATATCAGCACCAGTACAGTTAGGACACAGCCTTGCCAGGAGCTCAAAACGAATGTCTCTAAAATGACCAACGAGAAATGCTGTAGGAATATGTTCGCTTTCCTCTCCTCACTAGTTATGAAATTATAATTATTATTAGTTCGTATAAACGAATTCGAGTAGAAGTGTCGGAAAACCAACAAGAAATTTCCTCAAAATTTTCCGACACATATATCGGACCATGTACATACTTTTCCCCCACACTGCAATCGATGCTTCCCACTGTGCTACTACTACTACTACTACTACTACTACTACTACCTATCCATGTTCATACTGCGGGCCTGGATCTTGAAAATATGCGTACGACCATCTAAATCCGGTAACGCGAATTCAATTTTACGGTCAAGTCGACCTGATCATCAAAGACGCTATTCAGGCTCCACAGATCGTCAACAAACTCTCTATCAACGAGATGACATATTACCAGGCCGTAGTAGTGCTGGATCGAGAGTATCAGGTCTGTTGGTGGCCATAAGGACCTTAACATTGCCTCGAGCATCAAAACCATCCAACTGGTTGACAATTTCGAGCATAGTTCTCTGCACTTCATCATCCTCCGATCCACTACCACCACTACCACGAGACCCACCAATCGCATCAACCTAACAACAACTACTTATTGTGTACCAGGGAGAACCAAACACTAATAACGACTTCGTCATGAAGTTAACTATAGTTCAACACCAAACGACTACCACCGAAGTGTTTGCGACATGACCAGCACCATAACCCCTTCCCCGAATATGACCTCATCAATAAACAATATGCATGCCTTCTTACTACGAGCAAGTGTGAATAGCTCCCGTACCATCCTTGCACCCTCTCCCACATACTGACAACAGACTACTAAGAGCCTCCCTACCAGTAACGGCTACTACCTTCTGAACCAATTCACTACCGATTACACAGATAAAGCAAGCGTCAGTTCGATTAGCTACAGCCCTCGCTGTGAGTGTTTTCCCTGTGCCTGGGGGACCATACCTAATACCACACCAATCACATCACAGTCCAAATTACCATAAGTAGGTGTCTACAATAAGACTCCCTTAGGAGGGTCAATGCCAAGCTGGACGAAGCGTTCAGGTTGTAGTAGAGGCATCTCGACAACCTCTCTGAGAACAGTGCATCTACTGCTATCCTCAACTACTGTGCTACTACCGTAGCTTCTCCAACTGTTCCTTGCAACCACCGATATCAGAGTAGCTAAGCAGTAGCTGATCCACATTCACAGAGGATATAATTGATATTACGTAACATCGGGTTTTTCCTCAACGGTCATCATGGTCACAGTTGGATCGATCTTAGGCGGTAATGGTATTTGGATTTGGTATCTATGCTCATGATGGAATACTACAGTCCTCCTCCTCCTCCGTAGTTGATTAATACTTCTGTCGGTCTACTCCAACCCGCATACCCTCCTCAATATCAGTAGGGGAGACGTGCTGTGCGAGGCCAACAACAAACTTAGCAATCTGGGAACAACCTCATAAAAAAAGGATAATGATTTCATTTCAACTCACTTGTCGAACATTTATGACATACTTTGCATCATCCGTACCAGGATTGAGGATCTTAGTGCACTGCGAGACTTGCAATGGTTGTTGTTGCTGACATCCCAGACTCGTCACTTCGAGTAAGGAGAATATTGACTACTACCTCTTGTTTCACTTTGTCATCTGCTAAATCCCATACACTCGGTGGGGCCAAGCCGGTATCAGACTCCTGATAGCCTTTACTACTACTGCAGCAACAACAAAATGCCCACGAGTACCTTGATTCCGCACAGTTTATTGATCTTCTCACCCAAAGCCTTGATGTCTCCCTCAACCTAGAATTGATGATACACAGACTTAGCGTGGCTAGTGGTTATACTACCCTCTTGCACGGCCCGGTATAGGGTCCAAGGCCGTAGCTCTTTAAAATGTCAATATCCTCATCATCAAGTGGCTTGTTGTTATTGTTGTTATCTTCGCCGTCTTCCTCAGAATTCTCTCCTATGGGTTTATCATCAGCTTTCTTCTCCTTCTCTACTTTAACCACAATGGTCTCTTCATCCGGC